GTGCCATCATTGCAACAACCTCGGACACCTTGCTCGTCACTGCCCTTTAGGGTCGACAGCGAACAATTGGAGGTGCCCCTCACCACCTACAGAAACCGCTTCACCTCTCACCCCTGCCCCTTCACCTTATACCTCTGCCGCCCATTGCCTGGAGACTGAGGTGGTCCCGGAGGAATGTCTGGGTATTCTATATGAGGCGGACCCGATACAGGCAGCATCCCCAGATAATCGGCAGCATCATCGACAGGAGGTGAGAGTAAACGGTCAGGTAGCTCAATGCTTGAGGGACACTGGTGCAACCATTACCTTAATGCAAAGACATTTAGCAAAGCCGGAACATTTGTCCAACCGCACTGTGGCTGAACGGGTCGCAGGAGGAGCTGTGTTTCGCTTACCCACTGCCCGGGTACACTTGGACTGGGGGGTTGGGTCCGGGAAGACCACCATGGGCATCATTGACAATTTGCCTGCTGAAGTCGTGTTGGGCAATGATATTGGCCCTCTTGCTTCAGCCTACTTACCTACCACCACTGCTGCTTGCCCTGTGACCACTCGTTCACAAGCTTGTGTCCCAGATGACCCCACACCAGGACGGGAGACCCAGGTAAGCAAAGAACCGACCCGTAGGCCAGATACTGTAGAGAGACCTCTAGCTTGGGATACCCCAGAAGCATTTGGGAGGGAAACGAGAGAGGACAGGGAACTTGCAGACAGGATGAGAGGGAACGTTTTGCCTGGGATAACGACAGGCTGTACAGACTAACCGAAGGTAGGAAGGGAGATTGTATTCCGTTGCAGAAGCGCCAACTAGTGGTACCCAGAAAGTACCGAATTGGACACGATATACCCTTGGCAGGACATTTGGGAGGTAACCGCACTACCTACTGGATCACCCAGACCTTCTTTTGGCCGGGGATCTCAAAGGATGTGCGGCGCTACTGCAGCACGTGTAACGTCTGCCAACAGGTAGGAAAACGAGGGGACCACCCGAAGGCCAGACTGTCACCCATGCGGTAATAGAAGAGACTTTTAGTAGGGTGGCAGTCGATCTGGTGGGCCCCCTGCCTAGCCCCAGTTCTCTCTGTTCGAGCTGCTCTATGGAAGGAGAGTTCGGGGTCCCCTTGACCTCATCCGAGAGCACTGGGAAGGAGAGATGGAACATGAAATTGTACCATATGTCCTGGAGATGTGGTACCACATGGAGCAGTTGGCTCGGATGGCAAGAGACCACCTCCATGCGGCCCAGGGTCGACTGAAAAGGTGGTATGATTGGGGCGCCCGCCAGAGGACATTCCAGGTGGGACAGAAAGTTCTGGTGCTTAGACCAGTGAAAGGGAACAAGCTCCAAACCTCTTGGCAGGGTCCTTACAAGGTGGTGGCACAAGTATGTGACAACGCCTACGTAATTGCCAGTAACAAGGATGACCGGATTCGGAAATCCTTCCATGTGAACCTGCTAAAAGAATACCAAGAAAGCCAAGAGGATATTGCAGCCATCTGCAGTCCCGTCACCGAGGACTCAGACGGTCTGCCTATCCCCGACTTGCTAGCACGCCCCGAACCTAATAATGTACTCAATACTGTCCAACTAGGGGAGTGCTTAAACCCAGCGGAAAAGGGACAGATCAGACAGCTGTTGACAGAGAAGGGATTAACGTTCTCTCAAGAGCCTGGATATACTACGTTAGCCACCCATTACATGGAGACACCGGGACAAAACCCCCTTAGACAGACCCCGTACAAAATCCCGGAGGCCGTTAAGGAAGAGATGAGGAAAGAAATACAGGAAATGCTTAGGTTGGGAGTCATAGAACCCTCAGACAGCCCCTGGGCCTCACCCGTAGTACTAGTGCCCAAAAAGGACGGGACTACCAGGTTCTGCGTCGACTATAGATGCCTTAATGACCGAACAGTGACAGATGCGTATCCCATTCCCTGAGTAGACGAACTCCTAGATCACATTGCTGGGGGATGATATCTCACTACTATTGATCTGTGTAAAGGATATTGGCAGATTCACCTAGCCAAGGAGGCTGTCCCCAAGTCTGCCTTCGTCACCTCGTTTGGCTTGTACCAATTTAAGGTCATGACATTCGGGATGAAGAATGCCCCGGCTACTTTCCAACGCTTGGTGGACAGACTTCTTGATGGCTTCCAGGATTTCGCTTGTGCATACCTGGATGACATTGCGATCTACAGCGAGACCTGGGGAGAACATCTCCAACATATAGGGGCCGTGCTGGACCAGATTAGGGCCGCAGGCCTCACTCTGAAACCAAAGAAATGTCACTTTGGCATGGCCGAAGTACAGTACCTGGGACACCGGGTAGGGTGTGGGAAACAGCGGCCAGAGCCAGCCAAGGTCGAGGCCCACACCCCACACCAAGACCCAGGTATTGGCCTTCCTAGGGACAGCGGGATACTACATAAAATTTGTCCCCGACTATAGTATCGCCAAGCCCTTGACAGATTTGACCAAAAAGAACCTACCTAGGATAGTCCTGTGGTCTCCCGCCTGTGAAACAGCGTTTCAGACATTAAAGAAAGCGCTAATCAACGCTCCTGTGCGATCTGCCCCAGTCCCTTACAAAAGATTTGTCGTCCACACAGATGCATCCATGTACGGACTGGGGGCAGTTCTAAGCCAGATCAGGGAAGATGGAGGAGAACACCCTGTTGCGTACCTAAGTAGAAAATTGTTGCCCAGAGAAGTGAGTTACGCGGCAGTGGAAAAAGAGTGTTTAGCCTTAAAGAAACTTACTCCGTATTTGTATGGTCAGGAATTCACACTCATCACTAACCATAACCCCCTCGTATGGTTGAATCGCGTGGCCGGAGATAATGGCCGTTTATTGAGATGGAGCCTGGCGCTACAACCATATAACTTTTCCATTCAATATCGGCCTGGCAAATTCAACGGGAACGCAGATGGACTGTCTAGACAAACCGGACAGCCCCACGTTGACCCGAAAAGGATCAATCCGGGTCTGCTGGGGTGTCCCACAAAAGGGGAGCCATGTAACAAAGGGGGAAGCCTAACCTGCATATGGAGACTTTGGAGTGCTATTCAGTTCGGGACATTTGAAGCATTCCCCATTCGAATGCTTGCTACCGAACAACGGGCCACCTTGATTCCTAATTATGGCTCATTTACCTTCCTGCTCTATGGGGATTTTCGTATAAGGAAACACTTGAACGCTATACAAAATGTATGGGTGGCCACCATTTCGGGACTTCCACGTATTTGCGGCCATTTTAACTCCCAAACAGCGGTGTTTTGCCGTCGAGTGTCTGGAACTAAAATCGGACACTCGAGTAGGCGAACACCGCTGACATCGGGAAATTGTGCTACAACTACTGAACGACCGGGCGTTCGGAAGAAAGACTTAACAGCTTATGGGGATTCCAGCGAACGTAAGATTATATACGGATGGCAAGCCGTTCGGGACTTTTTACGCACGAACTAAGACCGACCGCAGGGCCAAACTTCATGGAACTGTTTTCGGCTACTTTGCCCGTGTGGTCGGTCAAAACTTTCAATCCCCATATCTCCCAAACGGCTGAATCGAATGGGCTGAAATTTGACTATGTTGGTCCCCCAGAACAGAACTATCTGGGGACACCAGAGTCTTTGGGGTACATCCGAACTTTGGGGAAAAATGTGTTCGTTTTATTATGTTATTTGGTTATCTGAGGGGCGGAGATGTGTTCTGCTAATTATGTGGGTGTCTCCCTTGCACGGGCAGAATCACATAAAAGAGAGTGTCTGTCATTAAAAGCCAGTTCTTGTTGACCCTTCAAAACGTAGCCTTGTCTCGTTCTTGAAAGAGGAATTTTGCAGCATAATCACTAAGCTTTTTTCAGAGCGTCTCGGGCATGCTCTTAAAGGGGCAGTGGGAGCAATAAAATACAACGGTCTCCCATTGGCCCCTGTCATCCCACATTCCCCATACAGTCAAATTTTGGGGGCGTGGATATGACAGGGGCCAATCAAAGTAAAGGTTAGGATATTTATACTTACCTCTCCCTTAACTCCCTGCCCTAGCATGGTTTCTGTTTCAGTTCCCTTTAGCGCTTGTTCTGTTCAGTTGTGATTTTCGTACTTGACCTTGGCTTTGTATCTGACTCCGTTTATCTCTCAATCCCTGTTTTGTCTTGTTTGCCGGCTTACTGTCTACTGTGTACCAGACCTTGTCTAGTTTTTGTTCCCGCAGTCTCTTTGTTCCCTTGACCTCGGCTTGTTCTTGACTCTGTCTATTCTCTGCTATACGGCGAGTCCGGCCATTCTAAGATCCGGTAAGACGTATCTGCTCTGTTACAGTACCTTCAGTAATAAATGTACAAACCGCCATTTAGTGAATGCTCCCCGTTCGCAATAATGTTATCTGGTAGCGGATGCAATACAACCATGCGAACCACCAGCCAGGGAACACTCCAAACTCCTGAACGGTACCCGTACGGCTCCTTCCCTTCACGAGCCCCAAGTTCACGAACTGCCAATATCAGCCGACCGCCAATATCTTTCAAGCGGCAAATAATTCCAAAGAGCAGTCTCTAGTCGCCGGTAATAATCCCCCCAATAACGAGACCAAGCTCCGCTTTGAGGGTAAAACATGAACTGAGTTTACTGTGGGCTACCTGCCCGTACTTATGCAGGTCTCCCACCTGGTGGACACTCCCCTAGGGGACCAAATGGCAGACTGGAATAGCAGATGGACATGGGGACATTTCAGACATACAATCCCACAATATTCCCAGCATACATCACAGTTTCCTCCCCTCTTCTCGGGAGATAATTGAGAAGTAATTCAATTATCTCCCAGAGCAGAGGCAAATCGCTATTTTAATTACAAGTCACAAAACACATAAAAATATATAACTTTATAACTGCCGAACATATTACATTCGTGTAACACATCCCCAGATATCCTGGATCTGAGTGCATATTATTGTCACATATTCATCCGCTTATAGAAATGTGGTTAATGACATTTACTGTCCACACAGGAAAAGTTGTGCCGAGCAGCAACCTAATCCACAGAAGGGTTAATGCTGAGCAGCAATTATGCAAATGAAACCTGGTAACTGACTTTGGGGTCAGCCTATCAGAACTAAAGGAGGGGTATTTAGGCCCAGTTCTCATCCTGCTCAGTGCCCTGTCGTGGTTTCCCTTGTGGTTGTCTGAGAGCGCGTTCCTGTTTATAGTTTTCTACCTGGTTTTTGACTTTGGCTTTGTTTATTTACTTCTCTATATTCTGGTATCCTGACTCCTGGTTTTCCTCATCGCTGTCTCTTTCTGTGTTCCCTGACCTCGGCTAGTATTTTTGACTATTCTTTGTACGTTAAATCCGGCCATTCTAAGGACCGGTAATACGTTACTTATTTGTCATCCGTGCTGTACAGTTCTACGTGCTGGATCAAACAGTAATCCTGACATTACGACATGGCCATAGATCCTGTAGAACTGTGTCAGCACATAGCTGCTTGCGAGAGGAAATTAGAGGAGAATGATCACCGCATGGATCAATTCACTCAGGCTTTAAGTACGCTTCTCGCTAGAACGGAGCATCTGCAGCCTGCAGCGTCTCCTCCTATAGCACCTCTACCCTGTGTACCTCCACCCACTGTTAATAGGACTCCTTGCATCTCCTTATCACCATCCCTACAGTTTGATGGCAATATCCAGGAATGCAGGGGTTTTCTTAATCAGGTGGAGTACCATTTTGAGGCCTCACCAGGGTCATTCCCCATGGACAGAGCAAGAATTGGTTATCTAATGAATCAATTAAAGGGCAAGGCCCTTGCCTGGGCTAATCCGTTGTGGGAGAGTAATCGAGCATAGCTCATAATTACCAGGAATTCCTTGCCGAATTCAAGCTCACGTTTGAGCCATTGGGTAGAGAGGATGACGCCTCCACTGCCTAATGCACATCAGACAAGGTAACCGGTCTATCTCGGATTATGCTATTGAATTCCGTACCTTAGCTTCCGAGGTAGACTGGACTAACAATGGGTTAATCTCAGCATTCAAAAAGGGTCTCTCAGAGACTATACTAGATGAGATAGCAGCTAAAGAATTACCTAAGAGTCTTAACGAATTTATTACGTTTGTCATGCATATTGATAATAGGTTAAGACTCAGAGAAGTCACCAGAAGCAAGACCAGACGTACGGATATGTCCCTAGCACCTCAATTCTCTAAACCTGTTTTGTCTAACCTCCCTGTACAATCCGAACCTGAACCTATGCAGTTGGGGGTCACTAGACTGTCAGAGGCCGAAAAACAGTATAGGAGAAGGGAGGGGTTATGCCTATATTGCGGTAGAAAGGGACATATTATAACTAATTGTCCAGTGCGTCCGGAAAACTTCCGCACCTAAGAACCTTAAGGGGACAGATCTTAGGTGTGATGGAGTTGTCCTCTAACAAAAACAAAAGTAGATTCCTCCTTGAGGTATCTATTTCCCTTGATAACAAGTTTTCTTGCAGTGCCCTAATGGACTCAGGTGCTGCTGGAAATTTTATTGATGTCCAGTTTATTAGGGGTAATGAGATACCGGTCAGGGAGAGACCTACGCCGCTAGCTGTAGAGGCTATTGATGGTAGACCACTCACACAACCGCTTATAACCCACGAAACTGTCCCTATTACGATCTCCATTGGGGCCTCCCATAGGGAGGAGATGACGTTTCAGGTTATTACTTCTCCATCATGTCCTATCATATTAGGGTTTCCGTGGCTGAGTAAGCACAATCCCTATATTGACTGGGCTAATGGGGAGATATTAGAATGGGGTAAAGAGTGTATGGGGAGATGTATAAAACCAGTACTAAAGAGATTGGATACTATTGACCTTCCCACTACCACTCCCCAAACTCCTGGAGTTCCCATACAATACCGAGAACTTCAGGAGGTGTTTAACAAGGCTCAATCCGATGTTTTGCCTCCCCACAGAGCATATGACTGTGCCATTAACCTGTTTCCAGGCGCTATGCCACCTAAGGGGGCAGTTTATGCCTTATCTCCCCAGGAGAGTAAAATAATGGAGGAATACATCAAAGAATCCTTGAGCAAAGGGCACATAAGAAAGTCATCCTCACCAGCTGGTGCAGGATTCTTTTTTGTTGAGAAAAAGGGTGGTGAGTTACGCCCTTGCATAGACTACAGGGCACTTAATAAAATCACTGTAAAAAATGCATACCCTATTCCACTCATTTCTGAATTGTTCGATAGACTTCAGGGAGCTAAAGTATTTACTAAGCTTGACCTTAGGAGCGCTTACAATTTGGTTAGAATTAAAGAGAATCATGAGTGGAAGATGGCATTTAATACCCGTAGTGGACACTATGAATATCTGGTAATGCCATTTGGGTTATGCAACGCCCGGCCGTATTCCAAGACTTTATAAATGATGTACTCAGGGAATTCATTTACTCATTTGTCTTGGTTTATTTGGACGATATTTTGGTGTATTCCCCTGATCTTCAAACTCACCACTCCCATGTGAAACAGGTTCTGCAGACGTTGTTGAAAAATAAACTTTATTGTAAATTAGAAAAGTGCATATTTGACCAGCCTGAAGTCCACTTTTTGGGTTACAACATCTCTGCATCGGGATTTCAAATGGATCCTAAAAAACTAGAGGCTGTACTACACTGGCCATTACCCTCTGGTTTAAAAGCCATTCAAAGGTTTATTGGTTTTGCCAACTATTACAGAAGATTCATCAAGGGATTTTCTTCTGTAATAGCCCCAATCACAAATATGACTCGCAAAGGGGTTAGTAGCACGGTATGGTACAAAGAGGCTGTGAATGCTTTTGAGACTCTTAAACAAAGATTTGCCTCTGCGGACATACTAAAACATCCTGACACCAGTAAACCTTTTTATATTGGAGGTTGATGCATCCGAGGGAACACCATTGCATCCTTGTGGCTACTTCTCCAGAAAGATGTCACCTGCTGAGCGCAACTATGATATTGGCAATAGAGAACTGTTGGCCATTATTCTTGCCCTCAAGGAGTGGAGACATCTTTTGGAGGGTTCCAAGGACCCCCTGTTGATCATAACCGATCACAAAAATCTGGCATATATAGGGGATGCCAAACGTTTGTCTTCCAGACAGGCTAGATGGTCACTGTTCCTTTCACGTTTTAACTTTCTCATTACTTATAGACCTGGTTCTAAAAATACCAAGGCTGATGCCTTGTCCAGGCAATTTGATAATGAGTCAGCTCCGGAACAGATGACATCTCCTATTATATCACCAGAGTGTATTATTGCTATTACTGTCCTCTCACTGTCTTCTCCACTGCTTGGCACCATACTGGATCACTAGATCATTTTGGTGGGATTCACTCAGGAAAGATGTAAAGGAGTATGTGCAGGCATGTTCTGTGTGTGCAGTTTCTAAGGTGACTCATGCACTTCCTTGTGGCCTGTTGCAGCCTCTTCCTGTTCCTGAGATTCCATGGTCCCACCTATCCATGGACTTTATTGTTGAGCTTCCTAGCTCTGCTGGGTTCACTACTATTCTCATGGTTGTAGACCGATTTTCTAAGATGGCTCACTTCATTCCTCTCAAGAAGTTGCCATCTTCGCAAGATTTGGTCCTAATTTTCATACGTGAAATTGTCCGTTTGCATGGCATCCCCACAATATTGTGTCTGATAGGGGCTCTCAGTTTGTGTCCAGGTTCTGGAGGGCGTTCAGTAAACAATTGGGGATTGATCTCTCCTTCTCCTCCTCCTACCATCCACAAACCAATGGTACAGCTGAGAGGGCTAACCAGTCATTAGAAGTTTATTTGCGTTGTTTTATTAATAGCACACAAGACAATTGGTCCGAACTACTCCCGTGGGCCGAGTTCGCTGGAAACAATGCTGTTCATGACTCCTCTGGGAACAGTCCATTTTTTGTCAATAATGGTAGGCATCCTACGGTTCTCCCTGCGGTATTTTCTGATACTGCCATTCTTGCTCTGGATGAGCGTCTGGCCTCCATTCGGGATACCTGGGTTAAGGTTCAAACTGCTCTAGGGGCTGCTGCTGAACGCTTCAAACATTTTGCTGATAAGCGTAGGAGTGCCAACCCGGTGCACCAAGTGGGGGACCGGGTTTGGTTGTCATCTCGCCACATCAAGCTTAAGGTCCCTAGCATGAAGTTTGCCCCCAGATTCCTTGGTCCCTATAGAGTGCTTCGTAGGATCAATCCAGTGTCTTATTCTCTGGCTCTTCCTGCATCTTTAGGGATTCCCAACACTTTTCATGTGTCCTTACTCAAACCTCTTGTCTGCAATAGATATACTGTTCCTTGTGTTCCTCCCCCTCCGGTGGTGGTGGGTGGTCAGGAAGAGTATGAGGTATTTTCTATCGTGGATTCTAGGTTTTCTCGGGGCACTTTACAGTACTTGGTTGTTTGGAAAGGTTACGGTCCAGCTGATCGTTCTTGGGTTTCGGCTCCTGACCTGCATGTGGGCCGTAAGATCCGCGCTTTTCACGCTAAATTTCCTCTCAAGCCTGGTCCTGTCCGCCCGGTGGGCGTTCTTCAGGTGGGGGGTAATGTCACATATTCATCCGCTTATAGAAATGTGGTTAATGACATTTACTGTCCACACAGGAAAAGTTGTGCCGAGCAGCAACCTAATCCACAGAGGGGTTAATGCTGAGCAGTAATTGTGCAAATGAAACCTGGTGTCATGTATTCATCTGCTTAGAGAAAAGTGATTAATGACATTTACTGTCCACACAGGAAAAGTTGTGCCGAGCAGCAACCTAATCCACAGAAGGGTTAATGCTGAGCAGCAATTATGCAAATGTAACCTGGTAACTGACTTTGGGGTCAAAGGCCGGTTACAGCCTATCAGAACTAAAGGAGGGGTATTTAGGCCCAGTTCTCAGCCTGCTCAGTGCCCTGTCGTGGTTTTCCTTGTGGTTGTCTGAGAGCGCGTTCCTGTTTATAGTTTTCTACCTGGTTTTTTACTTTGGCTTTGTTTATTGACTTCTCTATATTCTGGTATCCT